CGGGCGACTCCTGACACGCTTCACCTTGCGTCTGTCGTAGCTCGACGTTTTCTCAACGTAGATGCTCCACTTCTGTCATCAATGACTTAATGCTCTCCTGCATTTCTGCCATTTGCACCATCATTTTGTTAACTGCTTCTGTCAGAATCCCAACCACTAGACCATTGGGATAAAAGGGCTTGTTTCAGTAGCGGGTCAGTGCGCCCATATCCGTGGTAAGAACTATCGGAGTCGGGCAGGTTTGAATTACAAACCTTGCAGCCAACGTCGTGCAGTCCATTGTACTAGCCAACCTGTGCCACTAAACTCGAAAAGCGAGGTGAACTAGGTAGGTAGCTCAGATACCAGGTGTATGAGTTGTAAAACAGAGTTGCGCGGAAAACGGATAACGAGGCTGTGACTCAATGAACTCACAATACAATGAAGGCACGTGATAATATAGTAGCTATTGTAGCTAGGAGGGAACCTCGGAGATGCGAGGTTGGGTGCAGGTTTGGCTAGCGGACAACCGGGGGCGACGCGGGGCAGCCTCGGAATGGTGGATGTCAGCCGAACGTGCGAAGTCCGAAATGTTGGGGTTGTACGCGTAGCAGTAAACCCCTTCCAAGGAAAAGGAAAATTTACCTACAGAGGCTGTTGCGTTTCGGTCAGTAACGCAGTCAACATGGTCAATGCGAATTTCCAATACATGCGATGTGTCCCCATAAAATGTTCACAGTACACAGTTATTCAAGAGCTGTTCAAGACTTGATCATACAACACAAATTTTGGGTACCCTGTTTACTACGGTAAGTTGTACCTAGGCTGGTCAAGAAGGTTGCGCGTCTTGATCAGCCAGCTGACGAACACACGACTGCTGGTTTGAACAACTCGTTCGTCAGCAAAAATATTATGTACCGCATCGTTGGTCAACATAATCGACGAAACGGATTTTCGCGCACCAAGTAGCAGTCGCCCGTGAGTGAGAAGGTAGCGAAACGGTTACAGGAGTCACAACTTCCAGTGTTGTAGGCAGGTTCGTCATCTCGACTGAAATTAGTTCTTAGACGAGTCTTGTCCACCCGCTTTTGTAACATGTTCCAAAATGTTTATTTTGACCAGAATTTTCTCACCAACCTCGTTTGAACCCCGTTCAAGCTAGCTTGAACGCATTGTTCGTCATTTCCATCTTGAACAGCTCTTGAACAACTGTGTACCGCGCCCTTAACCGCTAATGATCCTAGGGTTGTGATGTTGGTGATCTAGCTGCGTGAAACATTGCCAGGTGTACCACGCTCTAACCCCAGCATCTGCCTTCCACATAACGCGATAGCCAGCCCTCAGGGCGTGTCCAACGCGTACATTTTGGGAATTTTAGTGCCCAAACACGTGCCGGGGTTCAAAACAGATCACCGTACCTAGAAACGAACGCACTGTGAGCCGGGTCCACCCCACTAGCGCGTGGACACATATCCCCACACAAACTTCAACAGTGCCAGGTCCGCGTGGAAACCTAGGTAACCGGTTCCCTCGTGAAGAATAGGTCTGGCATTTTTGCACATGCGAGTTGCCTGGCCATGTGGTTTGCCAAAGCGGAGGTGGTTTTGGCGAGTCTCGTGCTGTACTGGCGAAAGTGTGCGAGCCATTAGAGGGGCCACCTCTGTAGTGGGCAGGACGCAGTGCTGGACCCTAGTTCGCGCGCACGCTGCATGTAGTAACGTGAGTCACACGACTCGAGGTACGTGCAGCTGGAGTGCCGTCTCGTGAACAAAAGCTGGTCGTGTCCGCCCTTTTTGTAAAATGCTGTGTTACAACGCTAAATGTGGTAACTTTGGGGATTTAAGAAGTGTAGGAGCGGGACTCCCCTCATCCAAAACTTGACGCTCCAACAGGCGGAACCTGGCGCACTGGTAGCTAGTCAGTCGTGACTCACGACTCACAAACTTCCGCGCTTCTCCAGGCTCGCTCGCTGCTTCGAGCACTGGCTGCTGCAGGGACGCGCAGAAAAGAGCTGCAGTAGGCCGAGAGAGCAGTGTGCGTGCGAGGAGTCAGCCGTTCGGAGCCGGCTGTCCAGCGCGCATCCGCATCCTTCCGAGACGAGCCCCCGAGTAGAGGATCCCGCCGCCCGCCATGGAGGCAGCGCTGGGCTGTCGCGTCCGTCCGCGCGCCGCAGTCGGCTCTGCGGCGCCACTGGCGGCGCGTCGTTGTCCCTCGGGCCGGTTTGCTCGCGTCGCGTCCAGCCCAGATTCCCTTGCGCCGCGCCCCCTCCTCCACCGCGCGGCGCTGCATCCGCTGCAACCGCGTCGCCACCAACTCAGCACGAGCAGCTTGCGCCTGCCACAGCTGGGCTTGCGCCCGCCCGTGTCCGCCCGCCGCCCCCATCGCCCGCCGTCCCGCGTCGCCAGGGCGGCGCCCGCGGCGGAGTCGGCGTCCAGCGAAAGCAGGGACGATGTGACTGTAACGGGCGACGCAGAGGCGCAGCTGAGAGCGGCGTCAGCGGCGGAGGGGAGGGCGGAGGAGGGCGGGACGGTGGAGTGGAGTCGCGCGTGGTACGCCGTGGGCGTGACGGCTGACATGGACGCGACTCGCCCGCACGCCATCACCATTGTGGGCCGCCCGCTCGTGCTCTGGCGCGACGCCGCGGGGTCGTGGCGCTGCTTCCTCGACCAGTGCCCCCACCGCCTCGTGCCGCTCTCCGAGGTGCGCCCTGCAAGCGCCTCCCATCACACCTGTTCCCATCACACCTTTTCCCATCACACCTGTTCCCATCACACCTGTTCCCATCACACCTGTTCCCATCACACCTGTTCCCATCACACCTGTTCCCATCACACCTGTTCCCATCACACCTGTTCCCATCGCACCTGTTCCCATCACAGCTGTTCCCATCACACCTGTTCCCATCACACCTGTTCCCATCGCACCTGTTCCCATCGCACCTGTTCCCATCGCACCTGTTCCCATCGCACCTGTTCCCATCCGCACCTGTTCCCATCGCACCTGTTCCCATCGCACCTGTTCCCATCGCACCTGTTCCCATCGCACCTGTTCCCATCGCACCTGTTCCCATCGCACCTGTTCCCATCGCACCTGTTCCCATCGCACCTGTTCCCATCGCACCTGTTCCCATCGCACCTGTTCCCATCGCACCTGTTCCCATCGCACCTGTTCCCATCGCACCTGTTCCCATCGCACCTGTTCCCATCGCACCTGTTCCCATCGCACCTGTTCCCATCGCACCTGTTCCCATCGCACCTGTTCCCATCGCACCTGTTCCCATCGCACCTGTTCCCATCGCACCTGTTCCCATCGCACCTGTTCCCATCGCACCTGTTCCCATCGCACCTGTTCCCATCGCACCTGTTCCCATCGCACCTGTTCCCATCGCACCTGTTCCCATCGCACCTGTTCCCATCGCACCTGTTCCCATCGCACCTGTTCCCATCGCACCTGTTCCCATCGCACCTGTTCCCATCGCACCTGTTCCCATCGCACCTGTTCCCATCGCACCTGTTCCCATCGCACCTGTTCCCATCGCACCTGTTCCCATCGCACCTGTTCCCATCGCACCTGTTCCCATCGCACCTGTTCCCATCGCACCTGTTCCCATCGCACCTGTTCCCATCGCACCTGTTCCCATCGCACCTGTTCCCATCGCACCTGTTCCCATCGCACCTGTTCCCATCGCACCTGTTCCCATCGCACCTGTTCCCATCGCACCTGTTCCCATCGCACCTGTTCCCATCGCACCTGTTCCCATCGCACCTGTTCCCATCGCACCTGTTCCCATCGCACCTGTTCCCATCGCACCTGTTCCCATCGCACCTGTTCCCATCGCACCTGTTCCCATCGCACCTGTTCCCATCGCACCTGTTCCCATCGCACCTGTTCCCATCGCACCTGTTCCCATCGCACCTGTTCCCATCGCACCTGTTCCCATCGCACCTGTTCCCATCGCACCTGTTCCCATCGCACCTGTTCCCATCGCACCTGTTCCCATCGCACCTGTTTCCCATCGCACCTGTTCCCATCGCACCTGTTCCCATCGCACCTGTTCCCATCGCACCTGTTCCCATCGCACCTGTTCCCATCGCACCTGTTCCCATCGCACCTGTTCCCATCGCACCTGTTCCATCGCACCTGTTCCCATCGCACCTGTTCCCATCGCACCTGTTCCCATCGCACCTGTTCCCATCGCACCTGTTCCCATCCACCTAGTTCCCTCACCTGTTCCCATCGCACCTGTTCCCATCGCACCTGTTCCCATCGCACCTGTTCCCATCGCACCTGTTCCCATCGCACCTGTTCCCATCGCACCTGTTCCCATCGCACCTGTTCCCATCGCACCTGTTCCCATCGCACCTGTTCCATCGCACCTGTTCCCATCGCACCTGTTCCCATCGCACCTGTTCCCTTCCATCGCACCTGTTCCCATCGCACCTGTTCCCATCGCACCTGTTCCCATCGCACCTGTTCCATCGCACCTGTTCCATCGCACCTGTTCCCATCGCACCTGTTCCCATCGCACCTGTTCCCATCGCACCTGTTCCCATCGCACCTGTTCCCATCGCACCTGTTTCCCATCGCACCTGTTCCCAATCGTCAAGCCTGTTCCCATCGCACCTGTTCCCATCGCACCTGTTCCCAGCGCACCTTTTCCCATCGCACCTGTTTCCCATCGCACCTGTTCCCATCGCACCTGTTCCCATCGCACCTGTTCGCCATCGCACCTGTTGACCTTCGCATCGCACCTGTTCGCATCGCACCTGTTCCCATCGCACCTGTTCCCATCGCACCTATTCCCATCGCACCTGTTCCCACCGCACCTCTTCCCACCACACCTGTTCCCATCGCACCCACCTCAATCTTATCACTTTCCCAACCCCCCCCCTCCCCCCTCCCCCCCTGCCCAACGGCCACAGGGGCGCATAGACTCATCAGGGCGGTTGGCGTGTTCGTACCACGGGTGGGCGTACCCCTCTACCCGCTGGGTCAGAATGGAGGTGTTATAGGCGCAGCGGATGCCCACCACATGTATTCCCATCACCTGTTCCCGGCTCACCCACCTCCTCTCACCCCGCCCCCTCCCAACGGCACGGCCACAGGGCCGCATAGACGCGGAGGGGCGGCTGGCGTGTTCGTACCACGGGTGGGCGTTTGCAGGCAGCGGCGCGTGCGAGCTCATCCCGCAGGCCGCCCCGGAGCACCCCGGCCAGCCCCCCCGCGCCGTGTGCTCCCCGCGCGCATGCGCCACTGCCTTCCCCGTGAGGGAGTTCCACGTGAGTGCCGCACGTGTCACGGGCTACATACACAATAGGAAGCTTATCATCCGTGGGTCGCAGGTCATGAAAGGCAGGTCGCAATAACCCACTGTGCCTAGCTAACAGCGAGAGCTGGAGCCTGAAGGCATCATGCTGGGGTAGTCCGAGCAAGGAGAAGGGCATGAGAGTGGCGAGATGGCAAGGAGAAGGGCAAAGCGGGCGGCTGCTCGGCTGCTCGGCTTGCCTGTGCGTGTCCGCAGAGCAAGTGGGTTAGGGGCGAGGGGAGGAGGGGCAGTGGTGAGAGACAACTGTGCCTCCCCTCCCCTCCCAATGCCCACAGGGGCGCATCGGCTTGTCCGTCGCTTCTCAACAGTCCACCCAGCCAATCGCCCCCACTCTCCCCGCTGCGCGCCCGTTACTCCCCCTCCCTTGCCCCCACTTCCCCCCGCCCACCCCAGGGGGTGCTGTTCGTGTGGCCAAATGAGCATTCGGCAGAGCAGGCGGAGGCGACGCCACTGCCGCTGCCGCACGGGGTGGAGTGGGACGAGTACGAGGTGCTGCCGCACTACACGCGGCGCCTGGCGTACGGGTATGAGGTTCTGGTGGAGAATGTGGTGGACCTCTCCCACTTCCCCTTCGCCCACCACGGCGTCGGCATGACCACCCGCGACAAGGGCGGCCCTATCAACAACATCGGCATGACACAATCGGTGCGGCGCGGCGGTGGGCAGGGAGGTTTCTGTGTGATGGGGGGATGCCGTTTGCACACTCAGAGAGGCTTGCACATGCAGAGAGGCATGCACGTGCAGAGAGGCGTGCACATGCAGAGAGGCGTGCACATGCAGAGAGGCATGCACATGCAGAGAGACTTGCACATGCAGAGAGGCATGCACATGCAGAGAGACTTGCACATGCAGAGAGGCTTGCACATGCAGAGAGACTTGCACATGCAGAGAGGCATGCACATGCAGAGAGACTTGCACATGCAGAGAGGCATGCACATGCAGAGAGGCGTGCACATGCAGAGAGGCATGCACATGCAGAGAGGCTTGCACTTGCAGAGAGGCATGCACATGCAGAGAGGCGTGCACATGCAGAGAGGCATGCACATGCAGAGAGGCATGCACATGCAGAGAGGCATGCACATGCAGAGAGACTTGCACATGCAGAGAGGCATGCACATGCAGAGAGACTTGCACATGCAGAGAGGTTTGCACATGCAGAGAGACTTGTACATGTAGAGAGACTTGCACATGCAGAGAGGTTTGCACATGCAGAGAGACTTGCACATGCAGAGAGGCTTGCACATGCAGTGATGCGTACACACTCACATGCACTTGCGCTGCACACACATAGACATCCGTATACAAGATTTGCACTTCACTGTTTGTGCTTGTGCTCGCCCTGCCTGCACTGCGCTCGCCCTGCCTGCACTGCCCTCACCTGCCCTCTACTGCCTCTGCACTGCCCGCCTGCAGGGCGTGAAGGGCTTTGAGGGGCCCATCCACGTGTTTGGCTTCCCCACGTACCTCCGCTTCCAGGCGCCCCAACTCGTCTTCTACCACAGCACCGTAAGGTACCGCACAACACCACAACACCATGACGTGCCGCCCCCGCCACAACACCATGACATCCACCCTTTTCACCCTACCCCCCATCCCCACATCTCTCCTCCCCGTCCACCCCCGCTTTTATCCCACCCTCACTTTCCACCTCCCCTTCTACTCCTCGCTTTCCCCATTCCACCCTCCTCCCGCTCCCTTCCCCCCCTCTCCTGCCAGCCCGCCGCCCCCCAAGTTCTCCTTCCTGCAGAGGAAGGCTGGGGCAGCAGCAGCAAACACGAGCTTGGTGACTTTTGAGTCGACTCAAAAGTCATTTTGAGTCGACTCAAAAGTCATCTTGTTACAATGTCACACGGAGTATTTTCTACAAGAAGAAACATCATCGCATGGAGGTTACCTAAACGAGTAGGCAATTATCTAATTTCTGCTCATAAGTGCTAGCTTACTGTAGATTCCATTTCTACTGTTTCTATCTAGCTTTTCCCTGCCATCCCAGCCCCGCGAAGGAATGCCTTGCGTTGGAGCCTCGGGCTTTGGTATTTAGGGTGCTTGCTTTCTCTTTTTCTCCTTTGTGGTCTGAAGAAGGCTCAAAGCCGAAACTAGTTACCACCAAGATTTTTTTCTACAAAGGTCCTAAGCAAGCCTACCAACACAAAAAACATTTTTACTAAACAAGCTGCTGCCACGCAAAGTCATGCCTCCTAAGTGGGGTTCCATTGGACTGTCAGTTGATACTACTGCGATGGCCGGCTACACGTTTAACGCATCAAACACTACTACAAACACTACTACGAACAATGCTGACCGCGTCCCGACTATCCCAAGGCCATTGAGAGCATCGCGAAGAATTTCGCAGCTCGGCCAGGATAAAAAGCCGGTCAGCCAAGGGGACTTTCCACAGTCTCCTTCTGCTTCTCGACATTGCAAGAAGAGAGGTCTTGACACTTCTGGTGCTACTCTCGCAAAGTCCATTGACGCTCCTGGAATTACTCCCGTTACGATGGCTACTAATGCTACCACGACGGTTCCGGAGCAGGAAGCAGTCCAAGGAATCCAGGACTCTGTCACTCGTGACACTATCATGCTGGATTCACTTGATTTTCTCGGTGATATTAACGCATCGTTTCTGGATCAGCAGGCTACACCAGCCATTTTTAAGACACTTAAGTCTCAAGCCGTCAGTGACTTCAAAAGGCATTTTATGAAGTATCGGACGCTGCTGCAGCAATACAATTTTATGGAGGAGCAGAAGAAGAGCGGTATCATCCCGCATTCTATTCGGATTAAATCCTTCAACTTCGTCTGCCATGCTGAAGATATTCGTCAAGAAGCAGATAAGGACCTGGAAGCCGCTAAATTGGCATATTGCCAGAGTACGCAGAATATTCTCATTTCAATGAAGAAGAAAGCTGCTGATAAGGCCTTCAGCGACGCCTGTGCTGTTTATCAGTCACTCATTCATCACATCGATAACTTCATCAACCTGAACAAGAAGTCAGATCTCGGCATAAAGAACCCAAAACTCATTGACAGCCTAGATGTTTTCAAGGCACGCGTTCTGACGGAGTTTAAGGATTCCGTTTCGATTGTCTACATGGAAACCAACATGGCGGAAGTCCTCCTGAAACAGAAGAAGGAGGAGCTTGACGCTAAGAAAACGGCTGCTGTTGAGGAAGCTGAGAACCTGCCGGTTGAACCTACGGTCCGTGAGATCGCTCGTCAAGAGGTGCAGAAATTCATGAAGCAGCCTTCGACTAAGACACCTGCGAGAAAGACCGGCTACAACAACAAGGATAAGGCTGCTTTTTCTGGAAATCCTAAATCTAAGTCTAACATTTCCGGTATCCATGTCAGGAAAAACGCCTGCACAGGCAAGAAGTCTCGTTCGACTCCGAAAGCCAACGGCAAATCCAATGACAAGGGCCTTAATGGCAAAAAGACTGGGAAGCAGACTCAAGATGAAGCAGAAGGTTGACGAAGCAGAAGCATCAGCGGTTAAAACCGTGGGTCGCTCTTACTCTAAGACAGCTGCTCGCAACGGCTCTAAGTCGACTGGACGCAACGGCTCCTCCTCCTTTTCATCCCGCAAGGAACCTGTGACAAAAAACGGGGGAGGCGGAGGCCGCAGAAAAACGACTCGACAGTAATGGGTGATGTGCACTCATTTGCTTTGGTGCTCTTCGGAAGACAAACCGAGTACCAACTGCAATGTCGGATCACCAACCGCGGTATCCATAACTACAGTGATCATTCTTTCACACGACAGGAACTTAATCTTCTGCGCCTTGGACTGAAATTCATCCCCGTACCTGTAATTTGTACTGTCGCCAGTTTCGAAGCAGAGATCTCTGATTTCTTTAGAAGTGTTTGTACCATGTACCTGTTTAATGGATCTGACTCTTTCGGTTACTCAGGGTACAAGCTACCTAAGAGAACTAACTGGAACCCTCCACCAGCCTCACCTGAAATTGAAGCCGCGCTGGAGGTGTTTAAAGAAGCAGCCGTTAAAGAAATTGCTGGACAAACTTTCACTTCACTCACACGGAAGTCTAAGAACGTGCTCCCGATGCTGCGACGACTTGCTAACAATCCTAATCTCATTTTCAAGCCGGCGGAAAAAAACCTTGGACTAACTGTCATGAGCAGAGAATACTATCAGGATCAATGTCTGAAGCATCTGCTCAATAACACGGTCTACAAGGAATACTCGACGGTTCCCATTACTAACATTCTCCAAGAGCTTCATTCTATTCGATCTGAGTGGAGCTGTGTCATTAAATCCAGAATTTGGGATTCTTTCTTTCATCAACCTAAGAATGGCTGGAAGGTTCCAGCTTTCTACGTGCTGCTGAAAATCCATAAGAAAATTCCTGTTGGGAGGCCTATCGCGGCTTGCCATTCTTGGATAATTACTAACGTTTCTCGCTGGCTGGATTCAGTCCTACGCCCGTTGGTCCTCAAACAGCCGACCTATGTTAAGGACTCCCAGAGCCTGATTCTTCATCTCGAGCAATGTTCATTTTCATTTTCACCTAACATGCTGCTGGCGTCTTATGACGTGGAATCGCTCTACCCGTCAATTCCCTTGTGGGACGGGATAGACGCTGTCGCCTTTTTTCTTCAAAAGGAGAGACATCCATTGGCCCCAGTCATCGTCCGTTTGCTCAGATGGGTGATGTTCAACAGCTACGTTTCTTACAACGGCCGGTTTTTCCGCCAGATTCAAGGCACTGCGATGGGCACTTCAGTGGCTGTTTGCTTCGCGGTGCTTTTCCTGAGCTACCTTGACATTCAACTGCACGCTTCGCTTCGTTTTTCTCCCGCTCTCCACTTTCGCTTTATTGACAATGGTCTCATTCTGTGGGAGGGAACAAAGGAAGACTTTTCGTGCTTTCGTCAACGGTTCGATTCTTTACATCCTTCAATTCGACTAACCTGGGTGGTTTCTGACGTTACCATGGACTTTCTGGATCTTACGGTTTTCAAGGGGGAACGGTTCTCTACTACTGGAACACTCGACATGAAGCTGTACCAGAAGCCAATGAACCGGTACTTATACCTGCCGTTTAAATCCTACCATACTCGCACCACCAAACTGGGTTTCATTCGGAGTGAGCTACAGCGTTTCCTGCTACGCTCCTCTTCACGCACTGACTTCTTACACTCCCGCGCACTTTTCTTTGCTCGTTTACGAGCACGTGGGCATCCTGAGAAGTTTCTCCTTCCAATCTTCAAGACAGTGCTTTTCTCCAACCGTGGGGAATTACTCCAACGTGCCTCCGCTTTGCGCAATTCTTCTACCCGTGGCCCCCTCGTGCTGAAACTTCTGCTCAACCTGCTGGTTGACCGTTCGCACCTGGGGAACATTTTGAGTCGACTCAAAAGTCATCTCGTTACAATGTCACACGGAGTATTTTCTACAAGAAGAAACATCATCGCATGGAGGTTACCTAAACGAGTAGGCAATTATATAATTTCTGCTCATAAGTGCTAGCTTACTGTAGATTTCATTTCTATTGTTTCTATCTAGATTTTCCCTGCCATCCCAGCCCCGCGAAGGAATGCCTCGCGTCGGAGCCTCGGGCTTTGGTATTTAGGGTGCTTGCTTTCTCTTTTTCTCCTTTGTGGTCTGAAGAAGGCTCAAAGCCGAAACTAGTTACCACCAATATTTTTTCTACAAAGGTCCTAAGCAAGCCTACCAACACAAAAAAACATTTTTACTAAACAAGCTGCTGCCACGCAAAGTCATGCCTCCTAAGTGGGGTTCTGCCGGGGCAGCAGCGGCGAACACGAGCTTGGTGCTGCTGCTGTACATCACGCCTAGCGCACCGGGCAGCAGCATCTTCGTGCAGGTGAACCTGGTCAGTTTTTGAGTCGACTCAAAAGCCATCTCCCCCCTCCCTTCTCCCCTTCCCCCCCAGCCCGCCGCCCCCCAAGTTCCCCTTCCTGCAGAGGAAGGCCGCGGCAAACACGAGCTTGGTGCTGCTGCTGTACATCACGCCCAGCGCACCGGGCAGCAGCATCGTCGTGCATGTGAACCTGGTGTGTTTTTTAGTCGACTCACTCAAAAGCCATCTCCCCCCTCCCTTCTCCCCTTCCCCCCCAGCCCGCCGCCCCCCAAGTTCCCCTTCCTGCAGAGGAAGGCCGCGGCGAACACGAGCTTGGTGCTGCTGCTGTACATCACGCCCAGCGCGCCGGGCAGCAGCATCGTCGTGCAGGTGAACCTGGTCAGGCCCGGCGACGGCAAGAAGCTGCCCTCCATGCCGCGCTGGCTGCGGCACATCGGCCTGCACCAGATATACGATGGTGAGTGCGGCACCTCCGCTTGCACCAGGTGTACGATGCGGTGACGGAATCAGTGATCACAGATGATAGCCTTATGATTGTGGTGTTCTTTCCGGTTCTTGTCACATCACTGGGGTGCCATGTGTGTCCCGCGCCATGCCCATCAGGCGATTCCTACTTCCTGCACTGCCAGGAGCGAGTGCTGCAGGAGAGGGAGCAGCAGATGGAGGAGGCGCGGGCGAGCAAGGGCGGGGCACAGCAGGGGGGAGGTGCGGCGGAGGGTGGGCGAAGTGAAGCGGGGGGCGCAGGGGTTGTGAGGGGGAGCGCGTGGAGGGCGTTTTACATGCCCACCAACGCTGACCTCCCTGTGGTTGCCTTCCGGCAATGGCTCTCCAAATATGCAGGTGTGTCCCGAACACGAGTGGTTGCTTCATGAGAGGAGCCAGGTGGTTGTGTAGTAAGTAGGATCCTTTTCAGGTATTTCTTGCCAGCTGTGCTTGCTTGGAGATAATATGTGCCTGTGCTTTCTGATGTCATGGATGTCCCGATTGGGTGAAACGAGTATAGCCAATTGCTTTGGTTAACCAACGAGAGCGCAAGGCTAGCGAGGCTGAGAATGACCAACACACCAGAGCTTACTTGAGGGCCAACTAGCATACTTGGCTAGCTTTATATTTCAAACTTCTACTTTTTTGTTTTCCCTCTCGTGCCATCCCTCCTTGTCGTGCCGTATGCCATCCCGTCTTGCCTCACCTGTTAATGCTTCTGTCCACCATCAACCTGACCTGTACATGTCATCCATCTGTCCACAACCTCCTTCCCACGTGCACCAGGTGGAGCCGTGGAGTACCCGCCGGCCTTCTCAGATGTGTCGCTGCCCCCCCAGCCGGCCGCCAAGGAGGTGGTGTTGGAGCGCATGGCCTCGCACACCGCCCACTGCACATCCTGCTCCGCCACCTTCGCCAACCTGCAGCGCCTCCAGCTGCTGCTGCCCGCCGTCTCGTTGCTCTCCGCTGCTGCTGCTGCTGCCGCCTCCACCTCCCTGCGTGCTCGTGTGCCGCTTGCTCTGCTGGCTGTGGCCGCCGCTGCTGCTGCCTGGAAGGTGCAGGAGTTTGCCAAGGAGTTTGTGTACGCAGGATGGGACCATGCGAGAAAGGACTGAAAATTGGGAAACAGAAAGTGCGGCTACATGGGTTTTTCTTGCACTATGGAATCAAGGGTTGGCATCACAATGCCCTTCACAGCACCATATTTGTTTGAGTGATTGCTTGGCTTGTCGCTCGACACCATGGTTTGTTTGTTTTCATAGGAGGTTCGCATGCATAAATGATAAATCTTGAAAATGAAACACTTTCTAAAAAAAGAAATATTTTGAAAGCAGAGACGTTGACAATGCAGCAAAGGTAGCATCGCCGTACCCACATTCTTCGTTTCTGATTTCAGTTCTATTTTGTCAGAGACAGAATGAAAAAAAGCAATAACGCATACGCTTCAAAGGAATAAAATCCAAAGCATTATCTAAAGACTCATCTCGCGACAAAATTCATTCCCACATGGCACATGGTCCCATCAACGTGTACAGATTATTCCTGCATAACAGTCCTGCACTGGCAAGTAATCTCCACACCCATGGCAGCTTGCTGGGCAGCGAGGGCTCTCTTTGAAAAAAAGTAGCGCGTGGATGGTCGATTCTTGAGGCGCCTCAGAAGATGTGGCAGTGAGAAGGCCAGCAACAGCGGTGGAAGAAGGAGCAAGAGCAGCAGCAGGTTTTTAGGCGCCTGGAGATCAGACAGAATCAACCCCACGATGGTAGTGCCTGGCGGCTCAAAGGGGAAGTTGGTGCCTGCAGGATGGATGAAGAGAGGGCGGGAGGCTGGGAGGAGCGGATGCAGGCAAAGAAGGAGCATTATGATGTGGGAGTGCAGTGGGATGTGAACATGGTTCACAAAGGTTGTGATGGAGATGGGGCAGTGGGACTGGAGTTGAGTTGCACGTGATAGAAGTCGGGATGCGATAAGAACAGTGAGGTCTTGACGGTTGTGGGTGGGTGCATTGGCCCACAGAACAAACAAGCACAACCCCAATGGCAACTGCTATGCTTATGAGGAACAAGCGCCCCGTGTATGGTGCCACTTGCCGTTAGGAGGATTCTTGATTCTGTCTGGCTGGTAGTCAGGATGGTCGACAGGGCTTTGGATTGGTGTTCCTGTCAGCACGGTACAGCATGGTACACACAGTACAAAGCAAGATTTAGCGCGACAAGCCCATATGGCAGGGTGGGCTGAACTCAAGGTGTTTGGGATGGTAAGTAACGAATGTGGAGGAAAGGCTCACAGAGGCTCACAATGGTTGATCAGCATGCACACAGAGGCTCACAGAGGCGCAAACACACACGACGCAGGTGTGGCTTGAGTGGAGAGCCAGAGGTCTGACCCGTCAGCACACGTTTCCATTTTTTTTTAGGCGGCTCAAAATCGACTCAGTGTGCCAAGCGGAGGAGCGCGAGTCACACTACCCAGCACGAGTCACACCACCCAGCACGAGTCACACTACCCAGCACGAGTCACACTACCCAGCACGAGTCACACTACCCAGCACGAGTCACACTACCCAGCACGAGTCACACTACCCAGCACGAGTCACACTACCCAGCACGAGTCACACTACCCAGCACGAGTCACACTACCCAGCACGAGTCACACTACCCAGCACGAGTCACACTAACCAGCACGAGTCACACTACCCAGCACGAGTCACACTACCCTAGCACGAGTCACACTACCCAGCACGAGTCACACTACCACCCAGCACGAGTCACACTACCCAGCACGAGTCACACTACCCAGCACGAGTCACACTACCCAGCACGAGTCACACTACCCAGCACGAGTCACACTACCCAGCACGAGTCACACTACCCAGCACGAGTCACACTACCCAGCACGAGTCACACTAACCAGCACGAGTCACACTACCCAGCACGAGTCACACTACCCAGCACGAGTCACACTACCCAGCACGAGCCACACTACCCAGCACGAGTCACACTACCCAGTGCGAGCCCACGGGCTGAACTGGCTAGGAGGCGTCGCTCGGCCACTCTCCCATGGCCACTCTCCCATGGCCTACTGAGTCCCTTCCACAGGCCGGTGGAAGCCAGAGGCACGTGGGGCATGTTGGCAAGAAGGGATTGAAAAACAAGATGCAGCAAGGACGAACTAAGGGCCAAAAAAGGAACAAGAGATAACCATCACCTAGCGAGGGCATTAATCTGCAAGCATACCTTGAGGCACCAGCAGGGTATCGTGAGAGACGCACGTGCCAGCAGCAGTCCCTGGCGTGTACCCGTCATCACAGGTGCACTGCCCCACAGGTTCACAGTAGGGTGGCCAGAACTCCTCGTCTTCATCACAAGGATACATGGTGTGAGACGGGTCCGGCACAAAGGAGCACATGCCATGCCCGCTGCACGGGGGGGTGAGCCTCTGCTCTTTGAGCGGCTGCACTTGCACCCCACAGAACGCCCGGCACTCACTGTCACGCCTCTGGTTCAGCCCATGGCCGCAGTAGACCCACTCAAGGCAGTTGTGGGTGAATACGCACGAGCTGTGGCCTCCTGAGGGGTCGTCTGGGTCTGGGCTGGTGGTGTTGAACGGGAAGGCGTCTGCTGTGGCTGTGAGGTAGTTGTAGGCAACAGACAGTCTGTCTAGCGATGTGAGTTGGGTGATGTGGTGGAAGGAGGGCAGCTCTCCCGTGAGCTGGTTGTTGTCAAGGTGCCTGTGGTGCCAGGGGAAGGTGGGAGGGAGAGAGTAGTTGTGGCTGTGGCTGTGAGGTAGTTGTAAGCAGCAGACAGCCTGTCTAGCGATGTGAGTTGGGTGACGTGGCGGAAGGAGGGCAGCTCTCCCGTAAGCTGGTCGTTGTCAAGGCGAGCTTTGAGATGTCTCAAAACTCCATGTGAGGAGGGCCATGTGGCGGAAGGAGGGCAGCTCTCCTCTTGCCTGTGGTGCAAAAGAAGGCGGGACGGGAAGCGGTGGGTGGGAAGGAGGAGTCTGCTTGTGCGTCTTGACAGGAGTAGCATGTGCGTGTTGATTGGGGTACCTCTTCCGGGGCATGCCGTGTGGCATCAGCCTTTGACTCGACTCAAAAGTAATCTCGCTGAATGGAGTACCTCTTCCGGGGCATGCCGTGTGGCATCAGCCTTTGACTCGACTCAAAAGTAATCTCGCTGAATGGAGTACCTCTTCCGGGGCATGCTGTTTGACATCATCAGCTGTGCGTGTTGAGTCAGCAATCCAATTTCAGTGCTGTGTGGGATCAGCTGAATCCAATTTCAGCGCTGTGTGGGATCAGCTGAATCCAATTTCAGCGCTGTGTGGGATCAGCTGAGTGTGTTTAGCAACTGAGTGTGTTAGTGCTGTGTGGGATCAGCTGAGTGTGTTACTGCTGTGTGATTCCTCCCATCATTTCTTGGAGTGAATGACATTCAATCAGAAAGGAGTGGATGACATTCAATCAGAAAGGGGTGGATGACATTCAATCAGAAAGGAGTGGATGTCATTAAATCAGAAAAGGAGTGGATGCCATTCATCAGAAAGGAGTGGATGCCATTAAATCAGAAAGAGTGGGATGCCATTCAATCAGAAAGGAGTGGATGTCATTAAATCAGAAAGGAGTGGATGCCATTCAATCAGAAAGGAGTGGATGTCATTAAATCAGAAAGGAGTGGATGCCATTCAATCAGAAAGGAGTGAATGCCATTCAATCAGAACGGTTGATGGAGTTGACACCCATCAATTTGCGGCCTTCAGCAAGCAGAAAGGAAGAGATGTTGCTGTTTGTCATAGGCTTGCTAAAAAACCCCTTGTAAGAAAAAGGTGATGATAAGAAAGAGACGTGTGGGTGGAAGAAAGGAAGAAATGTGTTGATGGTAGAAAGGAGAGATGTGTCGATGGTAGAAAGGGAAGAGATGTGTCGATGGTAGAAAGGAAGAGATGTGTGTGTGGCAGAAAGTGAGCAGTAGGGGTGGCGTTTCACAGAGAAGAGATGGGTAGCACTGACAGTTGTTTGGAGTAATTGCATGAGGTGGCTAGAAATGTATGTTTCAGCGGAATTCAAACCAAAGGTGACCCAGCAGAAATGTATTTTGAGTAGTGGACTCAGCAGGCAACACAACCATGCTCTCCAGATTACTCAACCACATTTTAGATTATTGACAAATAGTGCATGAGTGTTGGTGACGACAGAGGTAGGTAACACTGACAAGGTATGAGAGAGTAGTGAGTATGGTGATTGCAGTAGGTATCGTCCCAGCAAGACGGTTGTCGTTGAGTTTCCTGAAGATGGGTGGATGAATAGACATGGAGGAAAGCAGAGAAGAGGAGGGGAAGAGGGAAAGTGGTGACGAGGAGACGAACAGGGGAAGAGATGATGGAATGGAAGAACACACGAGAACAGGAGAACAGGGGAAGGAGGCTGTTGTATTTCTGCCCACATGCATGGATGGGATGGGATGGGATGGGATGGGATGGGATGGTGATGGG